TGGCTGTCAAAAGATTCCCTTGGACTTGGATTTGAATTTATGACATTGGACTGAATGTTAATTACTTCGACTGGTGTAAGTGGTTTGAAGTTTGTAACCAATCTGGATAAATATTAGGGAATTTTTAGAAAATATTTTTCAGAAAAAGATTGTTGTTAACCAACAAATAGCTGGAATCGGACATTGTTATATTTTATGAAACAAAGATGGTTGAGCATGTTTTGTCACATATAATTTCACGAGAGTAAGACCATAATTTGTTCCAAGAATTGACTTGATGATATCGAAAAGGAATAAGTGTTGTGATCTTTGATTCTGTTGAGTTGTACTAGGGAGTGGCTAAAATCTTGTCTCTATTATCATATAATATTTCGAGATTAAAGCCAAGTTAACTCGAGGCATGACAGGTATATTCTCAACTATGGTACAAAACAGGATTAATTGGGTTGGATATATTTTTTCATGTTTGTTTTGATTTCTTGCATCAAGTTTCAAAAAAAAAAAAGTTTAACTTTGATTTTCTTTTCTTCTCTTTTATTTTACTTTCTCCGGTTTAAATTTTCTTGTTCTTTCTTGAGGACAAGAAAGGTTTAAGCTTGGGGAGATTTGTTAGGTGCATTTCATGTACCCATTTTGTAGCTTTATTTCATAAAAGTACATTGCATATAGGCTTAAACTCATGCATTTTGCATGTTTTTCGGGATTTTTCATGAGGCAATTTCATTCAAATACTTTTGTGATATTTTAGGGACTTTTGGAGGAAGGATATTGTTGGAGGAGGTAAATAAAAGTTGCGGACAAAATTTCAGGACTTGCGGAGCACCGAGGAGCAAGATATCAAAGAAATGAGAATTTTGGCTTTACAGACGTTTACACGGCCGTGTAAATGGAAGCCTTGCGTTTACGCGGGCCGTGTAAACGTAGATTTCTGCGCAGTATATTTTTGCGTTTACGCGGGCCGTGTAAATGACAGTGTTAATTTACGCGGGCCGTGTAAACGTAAATGCGGGTTTTAAAGCAGTTTTTCACCATTTTAAAGGGGGGAACCGACTTTTTACTTGGGGGTCGACTTTTGGAGTAGAGAAGGCGAATTTCTTGAGGATTTTGAAGTTGATTAACACTTGGGAACATTTGATTTCATTTTGTAAGAACTTTAATTTCATTTTCTAGATTTGTGATCTTGTTCTAGCCATGAGTGGCTAGAACCCTAAATTCTCCAACTTTATGTCTTGACATTTGGATGTGATTTCAATCATATGACTTGATGTTTGCTTTCAATTTTCTATCTAGTGAATTTGATTTTGTCTCAATCGAATGTTTGATTCTAATTGTGATTCTTATTGGCCATTTGAATTAGGGTTAGATCATTCAAGTTATCTAATTGCAAAATCCGTAATTGTTTTGTAAATTGGACTAGGTAACAAGCACTAATCTGATTTCTATTGAATGAAATTAGTGTAAATCTATTCACACATTCTTATGCTCCGAGCTTATGAGGAGTATTGAGTATTGTTGGGAACATTCACATAAAGTTTAATGCAATCTTTCAACCTAATTCTAAGAGCTTGTTTAGATTAGATTGGTAAGGTTAGGATTAATCAAAGAGCTTGTTTTGGTTAATTATTGTGGTGAATGGGAAGTGTTAGAGCTTGTTAACACTTTCAAGTACCAACTTAGATAGAATTAAACAAATATCTTGTCATCCATGGAATCACATTGCTAATTTGTCTTGCATAGAGTTGGAGTTCTCACAAATCCTGAATTTGTTTCATTTAATTGATCATTTACTTATTGCTTTATTCTTTTGATTAAATCATTGCATACCAACCCCCCATTTATGTGACCATTATTGTACCTTCCGCAAAAAGGTATAAACATTTGTTCCGTGTCTCTGTGGATCGACCCTACTTACCTTGTATTACATTTCTAGTACAAAGTAGTAGTGTTTAAGGAGTTATTTTACCCCTTTATTTGTTGGCTTTGACACGCTTAACACCATCTCTGGCGTTTCTTCTTCTCGATTCTCCGTCTCAACGTCTTCTTCTCGCTTCTTGGTCCCAACGTATTCTTCTCGGTATTCGTCTCATTGCGTCTAACTTTTCCTTCTCAGGTACTCACGATTGTTTGATATCACTGTTTCTCTTCAATTGCCGTTGAGTATGCATTTCATCATCTTATTATTTTTATGTAATTATTTAATGTTATTGTTGATGAATATGCCTAAGTTTTACTTCGATTCGAGATTTTGTTATTGTCATGATATTGTCGCTTTCTAGTCTACAACTTTCGAAGCACATAATCAAAGGGCCTAATCCACCAATAATTTGCATTTCTATCTTGATGAGTTTGATGTCGAACTGTTTTCCTTCACCAAAGAGCGTAACCTAAACCTAAACCTAATCCATGCATTTTCTCTTTTCCTCCTTTCGTACATTTGAACTGATCAAGCGATTGCTCTTCTTCTATTTGCTTTGATTAATTTGTGTTTGCACTACAGAATTTTCACTTTCTTTTTTGTCGCTGATTGTTTCTAACTTTGAATAATCATGTTCGGATCTAACTTTGTATTAACCTTTGATCTGTTGTAGTATTTCCATAGAAGAGGACTTGCAATTTTTTATTAAATCTAACAAAATGATCGAGAAACACATGTTGGGATTAATCAGGTTTATTTTAGACTTGTTTAGTTTTTTGGATTTAAATTGAATAAGCTTTGCTTCAAGGGACTTAATGGATTCTGCATGGCAGGAACTTGAAGATCAAATGCATATTTTATTAGGTTTATTTAGTAGTTTATTTAATTGGTGGTATGTTCTGTGTCATATTGCACCACGTGATATTAGGTAGAAGTAGTCAATTATTTAGTAGAAGTAGTCAAATAGAACCTATTCTTGTGGCTAGTCTTTTGGTTCACAGGTTGTGACGTGACTGAAGAGGCTATTTATAGCCATTAGTTTAATAAATAATTGTAGCCTTTTTTGTGTATCTCACTTCGTATACTCTCTGTAATTGTTTATTGAAGCTTTTCCAATTTTGCTTGCAAACGTGAGTCTTACATACATAATACGGAGTAGTGTGTTGTGTGTGTTTCTAAAGGACCTAAACCAACATTTGGTATCAGAGCGGAGATAGATTGAAGAGGGGCTGATTTCAGATTATTAGGTTGTTTTCTTTTTTGTTCTAGGGATCAAAAGGGTAGCGGAGACGAGTCGTGATTCCGGCCAAAATCAGCGGGCTTGTTAACCCAGTTTGATCGAAGAACAACATGGGAGGATCAAGAGCAACCGGAAGGTGTTAATCAAAGAGTGAAAAACAGCAGGTGAAAGGCAGCAAAAGGTGTTTGCAGGTAGCTCTTTCAAGCAGTGGGTTTTTTAGTTGATTATACAACCTTGGTAGTGCAGTAAATCGCAAGAATGGCTCCACCGAAGGATCAAACAGCGGCTGTTGTCAAGGAGAGCAACACCATGACTCTTCAATGTCCGGTATTGTCATCAACAAATTACACAGTATGGGCTATGAGGATGCGGGCTATCTTCAATGTTCATGGGGTATGGGAGGCAATCGATCCGGGAGTCAATGGGGATGCCAAGAAGAATAACATAGCAATTGCACTTTTGTTTCAAGCCATACCCGAGGAGCAGACACTGTTAATAGGGAATCTCACAACCGCAAAGGAGATGTGGGAGGTTCTCAAAACCCGTCATTTGGGTGCGGATCGAATCCGGGAGGCGCGACTTCAAACTCTAATGGGAGAGTTTGAAAATCTGAAGATGAAGGATCAAGAGGTGATAGATAACTTTGCTAATAAGTTGTCCGAGTATGCTTCTAGAGCCGCCTCACTTGGATCGGTTATGGAAGAAACAAAATTGGTTAAGAAATTTCTTAACGGGTTACCGAAACGTTTCATTCATATGGTGGCTTCTATAGAACAGGTTGTAGACTTGAAGACCATCAGTTATGATGATGTTGTGGGCCGACTTAAAGCTTATGAAGAAAGGATCAAAGTTGAGGAGATCCAACCCGAGCAAAATCAGCTTTTGCTTGCAAATTCTGATGAAAAAACAAAAGAAAAAGACCATAGGTGTGAGCATTGTGGTTGTGGAAACTCGAATCGGGAAGACTATGGGCGTGGCCGAGGTGGAGGTCGGGGGTCCGGGAAAGGTCGAGGAGATGGTCGAGTACAACGGGACAAGAACCACGTGAAGTGTTACAAGTGTAATGAGATCGGGCATTACATATCAGAGTGTCCTGGGAGAAAAAGGAAGAACTCAACTTGAACCGGTACGAGGATGATGAGCCGGCATTGCTGTAATCGAATGATATACCTGATTAAGGGGGTGATTGTTGGGATTAATCAGGTTTATTTTAGACTTGTTTAGTTTTTTGGATTTAAATTGAATAAGCTTTGCTTCAAGGGACTTAATGGATTCTGCATGGCAGGAACTTGAAGATCAAATGCATATTTTATTAGGTTTATTTAGTAGTTTATTTAATTGGTGGTATGTGCTGTGTCATATTGCACCACGTGATATTAGGTAGAAGTAGTCAATTATTTAGTAGAAGTAGTCAAATAGAACCTATTCTTGTGGCTAGTCTTTTGGTTCACAGGTTGTGATGTGACTGAAGAGGCTATTTATAGCCATTAGTTTAATAAATAATTGTAGCCTTTTTGTGTATCTCACTTCGTATACTCTCTGTAATTGTTTATTGAAGCTTTTCCAATTTTGCTTGCAAACGTGAGTCTTACATACATAATACGGAGTAGTGTGTTGTGTGTGTTTCTAAAGGACCTAAACCAACAACACAACATTCCTGCTCCGGAAGTGCCTGACAACGCTTCTAGAGTTGCAAAATATCTTACGGAGAATTCATATATTGGACACACGATCCGACCTGTTCGTGAACGCTGTGTTAACCTTCGAACACAAGAGATGTTCGACAACCTGGTTAATTTGTATGCCCAAGTGTTTATGGCTTAGTGGGAGCATTACACAGGATTTATGGAATCATTTCCTCCACCAAAAGGCGTATCTCCAGATATCTATGCTGCTAGATGCTACATTTCCATGTGGTTCATTGACCTTTATGTTTCTATCCGTAAGGATGTACGGAAGCTTCCAGCAGGTGAATTCCACGAGAGATATCAAGGAAAGCTTTTTTTTTTTATCTCCCGCGAGTATGACAACTACTTGACTTTACTCAATGCTTCAATCCGCCCCACTCATGTTAAACATGCTATTGATAATGCGCGATACATTCCCATTATAGCCGACTCTATCGATGTCAACAATCCAAGCCCCTTCGGGATTAACAACTTCACACGTGAAAGAGACCTCTTTTATGGCTTAACCCATATTATGAAAACAAGTAGAATTTGGCGTTTCGCTCCACTCTTTAGCGATGCAAATGGACGACCATGGTGGCTATTTGATTGGCACTTTAAAGATCATGTATGCTCATGGTTTCCATGTAAAGATAACTACGATCCCGAGGATGTCACCCTTGCTTATATTCTTGGAACCGCTTGTACTCCAAATCTTGGAGATAGAGATGTTGATGAGTGGCAGTACTTTGCTGAAGGTGTTGTACCACACGGTGATCCAAATCCAGGGAGCTATGATCGTGTAGATGAGAGACGCTTTTATGGTTCTTATGAAGTTAGGACCATGGAGATTGATCCTGAATTCTCCCTTGCACGAATGCTAGCACCAATTCTTTCTCAAGTTGACCCAAACATAGCTGCTACAGTTGCAGAAAGAGGCACAACACCAACAACCACCATAAAGCTAAGGTGGGAAGAGCAATCGTCCCACCCTGACATTGCTATCACAAGAAATGAAGAACCTCAAGAAGGCGACCAACCAATGCCGCTATATAAGTTAGTTGACCAAACGACGCCACGTTTCAGGTTAATCGACTGGGTTTATTACTGTCGTGTTATTCGCCAGATGGATAACGAGACGAGGGCCATCGCCCATGGGATTATGTCCCTTGCTTGATTGCAACAATATTTTAGTTGTGAGCTTTTTTGTGTTGAATATTTATGAATTATTTTGTTAAAGAAGATCGTGATTTTGGTTTTAGTTTATTACATATCCATTCTCAGACCCATGTTAAATTAATATTTGCTATAATGGCCTAACCCAAACTAATTGAACTTAACTCGTCGTCATTAGATGTGAGAAAAGAGAAAATAGAAAGTAAATTGAATGATGTTTGGGTTAATTGGTTTGGTTTTTGTTAAATTCTTACTATTTTGGTTTTTTTATTTATTGTTTTGGTTTTAAATTGGATAAACAATTAAATATATATTTTTATATTTTATATTTATAAATTAAAATTTATACCAAATTTTGGGTTAAACCGCCTCCAAAAAAATTAAAATGTAGTCCAAAAGAACTCCAAAATTTTGTGACATTACGCAGCAAGTTACCATTTTAATGGTAACTATTATTCCTGACTTTTATTTGTACTTTAATAAAGGTTAAATAAAATTTTATAATGATAAAAAATATATTATTTTATTATTAAAGTATTAAAGTATTTTTATAGTGTAAAGTTTGGGCCTTGGGGAGTTGGTTTAGTTTTAATGTAAGTTTTACATAAAAATTGTGTAAGATATATTTTGATCTTTGCTCATTATACATCTCATCTTAGCCGACAAGAAATAAAATTTTGTCACGCAACTTTTGCAGAATGCATATCAACTATATAATTCTCTTCAAAGGTATTCATTTGTTATACAACTAGTTAACATGTGATAATCATGGTTACAAAATTAATTAAATATTCTTAATAAAATTTAATAATTATTAATCAATTATTTTAAATAAATAATTTTAGATAAATTATTAATTATTAATTAAGAGATATATCAAATTTTTTAAAGCTATTATAACTTCAAAATTAACATATAATTAGAAAATATAAATTTGAATTTTGAAATGAATTGCCTAATATATCTACATAACAAATGACATAATATTGATGAGGGTGTTGCATTTACATTATTGCTTTTATCTCAAAGATATATTAATAACTTTTTTTTTAATTATTTTGACTATTTTTCTTTTAAAATTAGTATTTCTTTGTGAAAATTGGATCTTACATCATAGATCATGTCATTATTTAATAAGTTATAGAAAGGTTAATTTCATAAAAGAAATAATACTTTCATATTTATTTGTTTTAAACAAAAAGAAAAAAAAACTTTTTCTTTTATCAGAAAACCCTAGCAATTATTTTTTTGTTATTTAGATGGGAGATACTATTTCAAAATTACAAAACAGAAACCTTGTTAACTTGGTTCAATAAATGACATATCTATTAATATATTTCACCCAGGGGAGGATCTATATAGGAGTCTAGGGTAGCGCGTGGTACCCCTTAAATTTTCAGGTACAATGGAATTTTTTTGAGAATATTTTTGGTGTAGTGCATTTTTTTCAGTGTGTTACCTCGAAAATTTACATATGCTACCCATGATATTTTGTTATCACTCTGCCACTGATTTCACCAAAACCCTAGAAACCAAACAACTCTCATCTTCTTTCTCCTCCTTCATGAACTACAAATTTCCTAGCCATGGTGTCTTCCTCAAGCAGGAACAGGAGGTTGCTTACAAATGATGGAATGGAAATATGCAATTGTGAGGATGAAGCTTCATTATTTACCTCCTGAACTCCAATTAACCAAGGTAGAAGGTTTTGTAGGTGTCCAAATTTCAAAGTTAAGGCTATAAGTTTCTTGGGTATCTTAATTGTCATAAAGTGTCTTACTGTATCTTAACTGTTATTATGACGTATAGTGTGTCTTAATCACAACGTCACTATGATTTATATTTAGGGTCTAAGTTAGGTCGCTTTAAAATACTCTATTTGGACTCTTAATTGTATAAACAGGAATTGAGACAAACTTAAAGTACATTGCCATGTGGGACTCTGATATAATGTCCACGTAGTGTTGGGTCGCTTAAAGTAGTCAAAATGGTGCTTGTTTTCAAAAAGATAAAAAAAAAAAAGAGGGATTGCAATTTGAAAATATTTTAAGTGGATTAATAAGGAACTTACAATTCAAAGCTACAAGGTTCTACTTTTGAAAATGCACTTTAGTATGAAGGATATGGAGGATGAAATTTACCTAATGAGCTTCAAGTTAGGGGAAAAGAATAAAACTGCATGCTTGAAGTATGAAGAACAAATGTTGGAGTATGAAGAACTAAAAGTGATGTATGAAGTAATAGAGTTCAAGTATTAAGAAATAAACCTATCTAATGTAAAATATGTTAGGGTTGTGGTAGTTATCTTGACATGGGTTATCTTAGGGTTGTGGTAGTTAACCATGTTATATGTTTTGATAACTGTAGTTTGACGAATGTTTTATATGACAATGTACTTGTATCGGTTGTATTTTAATATTTAATGTGTTTTGACCAGTAATTTGGACATTAGAATTTGGGTAATGTACTTTAGGAGACAATTTTGCAATGAAAATCAGGACCCATGGTATAGATAGTCTCATTTCCTGATCAACACACATGGATTTTGTCCCATTTCTCGTTTTAAGACACAATGTATTGATTTAAAATTAAAAAACAGTTGGCGTGGTTGTCCTAATGGTCTCACGGATCAAATTTATAATCAAAGGAAACAATTGGTTTGTATAAGAATTATTTAAAAAAAAAAAAAAAACAAAATCCAATTTAATCTATATTACAGAATTGTCAATGGCATATCTTAAAGAGTTTTCATATATAAAATCGACCTAACCTATATGTATTAAAATCCATTTTAGTCATCATAATATTATTTTAAACCGTAAAACTATATACCTATTCCATTTTATCTTAGGATTTCCAAGTTCAAATACGTATGATTTGCATTTTTTTTAATCCAAAATCAAACCAAACCAAACACCTTATTCCAAACGTAAATCATTCTCAAAAGATTGTAATTCCAAAATCACTTTTTTCTCTATGGCTCCACAATTAAATTCCGCAATATTGCCCTTCAGCAGATTCCCATGCAACAAAAACTAATAATTTTGTGCACAAATCAATCACATCCTTCATTTCCCCAAGGCTCAGATTCTATATTGGGACTCTTAAAATCATCATCGGGCTGAACAGCATCGTAAATCTGTACATCGTGCAATTAAACTTGTACCATTCATGACCATTTAACTAGTTACTCCGGAGGAGGAGGTCCCCATGCGGGAGGATTCCGAGTAGGAGTAACAGGTGGCGGCATGCTTCTGATATTGATATCCAGACATCGGTATTCCACGTCGTTTTCTTTAAAGATTCGAACCATTTCATCAATCACTGCACCTTTCCTCACGTATCTCTCACTCATGTCTTGAAAATTTATTTTGTGTCTCCACCATATTTGCAGCTTTATCTTGTTTAACTCCTCAACGTTCAATGACACCACCGTTATATCATTCGGATAATAATGATCCTTTTTACTCTCGATAAAGCTGCCAACAACATACCCAGATATATAAATAAACATGTACATATCTGTTAATTCGATGACGAAATTAGATTTCTTACTTGATTATTCTTTGTTTCATGACAACCAACTTGTCAGCAGGAGTTGCGATATGGATGAAGAAATCGATGGAATCCCACATATCAGGACTTCGAAAATGATTGCTAATTGCTCTTGTCGAAAGTATACTATTTGGAAAATAAACCTTCTCGTTGTCCCATTTCAAGAAAACAGTAGTCAAGATATTCATCTCTTCTACGATCATCTGACACGTGTCAAAGATTCAGATATCAAAACACAATATATTATTATTATTATTATTATTAACACGTGGGAATTGAAAAAGATGTGTCTTTCTTTTTACCTGAACTCCATCAATCTCACATCGATCACCAACATCAAAAGGATGCATCACAAACAAGAAGATTATGGCTTCGAATATAGTCT